CGTCTTTTCCCTATTTGCAGACGGACGTCACCAGCCTAGCCGGCCCGGATAGCCTACCTTCGTATCCTCCTTGACTTGACCATGTCTCTACAGATGACCGCAGCTCTGTCACGGGAGTGCAAGCTCCTCGGCGTTGACGGTTGACCGGATCTCACATGCGGTGGAGGCCAGCCTGTTAGTCCGGTGCATGCATTTTGCGTGCTTGCCATGCTCCTGGTTCGTCCCTCGGACAATCTACTCTGGGCCGGTGTCTTTGTCAAGGAGATCCCACTAACTCGTACATTTCACAGTGAACTGGTGGCTGCTTCTCGTTGTTCAGCCCATGCGCAGGCCAAAATGGAATACCTTATTGCATTGGTCTACTGGATCCAGCGTTGGACGACGTTCTACCAGACTGTGAGTTTCAAGCAGGCCTTTTTTTCCTGACGGCTGGAATATGTACGTCCGGTGCAAGTGGACTTGAGTCGCCCAAAGCAATCTCGGAATATATGGCTTTGTTGACGGTTCATGTTTGTCCGGATGGCTTGCTGGGGTTCACGATCATTAGGCTAACTGATAAATTGCGGCCGAATTCATAATTATAACTGTTTAAAATGCAGTGGAATAAAAACTGTCCTCTTTCTTCTGCCTAAGAATGTGATAAAACGTGCTTAGGGTAAAAACAGTCGTGGGTTTTTAAAAATTGCTATTTCAGGTAATTTTTTCTAAAGATACGTCTCGCCTCCCCCCACACGGAGGTTGGACTCAGTCGGTTACTTATGCATTCTGACTAACTTATGCATCCTGCAATCGAGGACGTTGCAATATCTTAGATAACTGCTGATATATGAGGATTATCTGCAAAACATTTTAAAGCAGACTCAAACAACTCTCAGGTAACACCTTATTAGCGTCCTTCAAAAAAAAGTAATTTTAGTATTCCCGAATAACTTCGGTCCGGTACCTAGAAAAACTCCGATAAATACAGTACGATCAAACAATCGATCGACTATGTTGGACTCTCGGCCATTCCAACACTTCTGAGAGCGTCATAGTCATTTCCTGGTTTAGAAAATGAACATGTAGACTTCTATCTACAAATCGCAGGTTGAAGCACCGGCTGATGCACAAACCGTGGTTGGCTTTGGTTCGCTGCGGAAGCCTATTAATCTAGAAA